ATTAGTAATCGATAGTTTCAGTAGCTTTATTGTTGCTCGTTACTAAACTAATGGAAAAAATAAGTGCCATTATGCGAAGCTACACTAGTGACAACTTATGGAACTTAATTGTTCCTGCTTTCCAATATAGCTTTCGATTCTCTAACATCCTTGTATACCATGCAACTGTGTCAACACTCAGACTTGTTAGTCATTGTTTAGAGACGAGTGTAGAAATGAAATCGTTAGATCAAAAAGTTATAATGTACTTAGGACATACAAAATAAGAAAGATAATCAAATAAAATATATCTTTGGGAGAATGATCTTCATCCGTCGATGTTAAAAATCCTGGTTCAAAACAAAATAACTGCACAAGGAATAAGACAACCAAGCCTGCATTTGTCTCTGATATCCTAAACAATGATTAAAAATTCTACTATATCAAATTACAGTTGGGTTTTCTCTATTGATTTATAATTTGTCTAATAGAATTTTAACTATTAAGATATATGTTTTTTATAATTAAAAATTGTGTGTGTGTGTGTGTATTACGTTCATATACCGCCGAAAGCTTATGTCACATTCTTGATTCGATTTAGGGGGAATGCATTTTTTTTTGGACGGGTGTGTAATGCATTCTTTGACCAAATTTCGTACGAAAAGAAAATGTTGCATTTAACATTTAAGAAAGGAATCTTATAAAAGTTTTTGCTTTTTAATTTTCACACACTATTTAAGCACATTTTTGTCAAACAATCGGATTATCGTAATCGTGTTGGTGTTCATACCTACGAATTTAATTAAAGTAAACTTGATAAATTTTAAAAGGATTTATTAGATGAAAAATTTTGATAGAGACCATTCATCAATCCAAAAGTAAAACAAAAAACTATGCCTCGTTATTTTAACCAAAATAATAATAATAATAATAATAATAATGCCCTGTCATTTTTAAAATTATATCCGAATAATTTATGTATGTTTGTTATCCACTAAAGATATGAAATGCACTTGTAATATTATCCCTTTTTCTGTTAATCCATTCGATCTAAAACGTTTTAGTCACCTTAAACCTTATTTTATATATATACTAATGTTTTTTTAAAAAAGAAACGTATAAATAAATTATAACTTTAGATTATCATTGCTAATGTACACAGCTTTTTTAAATACATATATTGATAAATTATAAGCTCAATTTTTTTTATAATGCATTTAAACGTATAATTAAAATATTTCTTTTTTAAAAAATGTTTTGTTAACCTTCATTGAATTTAAATATTTATTAAAAAATGAATTAATATAAACATTTTAAAAAATATATACTTTAAGAATCTCTCTCTCTCTTTAAATCTCATAAAATTCTTCGACTTGGATAAAAGAACAATGTCATAATCACATTCTTTTTCACATTTTTAATTATTCATCAAAATTTATTAAAAAATATTATATTATATTTTACTTTTAAAAACAAAAAATATTGTTTAAAAGAAAAATTAAACATGCTCTAAATTTGCCATTACGCTAGCTTCATAAAAGCTTTCCCATCGTCCTTATGGTTTCCTGATAAAATAACAATTCACAATTCACATTGGCTCTGTCTTCTTCTCTTCGAAAGGTTTAATATTGATGAAGGATGTACGATTCCTAAAGGCCCACCGAAACAACGGTTGTACAGTGTCTCACTTGCAAATAATACCAATCCTTTTTTCTCTGTCACATAGTTCTCCATTATTTTCTCAAGACCCATTCTTAAATTGTGCTTTAATACTTTTTACCGTTCATTTCATTCAAAGCTTTTTTATTACAATTAAATAAATATTCTCTTACATTTTATGCTTTCGCCATCTAAAACTAAACCTTCCTCACACTCTTGTTCATTTCTTCCAATTAAAATGTTCATAAATTCAAATTTAAAAATGTTAGTGTAATCTTTAAAATTAAAAAATTGAAATTCATATTTTGGTTTTACAGTTAATAATGTTTTTTTTTTAAATTTATTAACTACATCAACATCTATTGTTGTCAAACCTATTCAATTTAAGTCGATCGGCTAATCAGCCAGTTTATTTAGTTTTAGTTATTTTTCAATTTATTTGTTAATTTTGGCAACCTAGTTTGTGTTGTCACGATGCTTCAAGTTGAATAAACACTGCTGTTTGTGGAATAAACAGCATTATAAATTTTCTTTTGTCTATTATCATGTCACCATAATGTTAAATAAACAGTTATTGATATAAATTGCTTCGATACAGTTTCATTTCTTCGAGTAAAATCAATAATATTTCATTCATTATTTTATCGTGATTAAACATATGTTAAACAAATTTAATCTATTTTTGAAAGTTACATCAATAATTTAATTTATGTGTGACTTGATTTAATAAAGGAAAGATCTATTTACACTTGTATGAGTTATAACAGTTGCATTTTTTTTTATAATTTTAGTATTGTGTTTGGTTCATAAAGTAGAATGAGGCATTGTATTTTTTTTTCATGAATAAATTGTCCCGATTTTCCTGTGTGTAAATTTTATTTTGGTCAGCGAACTACAAATAAAAATTAGTTTTGATTTTATTAAGTGTGAATATATCTCATAATCTTTAGAAAAACAATCCGTAGATCACATAAAATATAAAGTAGAATTGTATATGCTACGCTCATTCTGTTTATATATATATATATATAGCACGTTTCATTCTGTTTTAACTTGTGCGTCGAACACTATTTATATATTATTCAATTACTTTTATTAAATTTTAATAACGATGAAATATAATTAAAAATTTATTTTACATATTTTAAACTACTTCTAATATATATTAACAAGATACTAAATAATTATATACTAAGCATTTTTATTTATAAATAAGGCTTTGTTAATCATTATCCTGGTGATAATGATTAAAAAATCTATAAATAAAAAATTAAATTATATTGAACAAATCTTAATAATATTTAACATTGTGTTTTTATATAAAATTAATTTTTTTAATTATTATTTTGAAAAATATTTAAAAATGCAATCTAGTAATAAAATTAAAGATAAATATGTTTAAACAAAAAATGATTAATGAATTTCAGGACTTCAAACCCATCCTTCCTTCTTCACTTTGATCACATGTAATAAATGGTAAAAATATATAAAAAAAAAGTAGTATTTAATAATCAACAAATAAGAAGAGAATAAAAAGAAATAAGAGAATATAAAAAAATAAGAAAGATATACTAAGTAAAAAGAAAATAAAGAAAGAAAAAAAAATTATAATAACCACAAAAATTAAGAAACATGACATGTGAAGTGTATTTGTAAATTACGATACAAAATTTTATTATAAAGTGTATATCATAAATTAAAGTGAATCAAATAAATATTTAAACATGATAATTAAAATTTTAAAATTTATTTCTAATTTTAATATTTAATTTTATATTCAATTCCATACATCAGATAAACATTTAAATTACTTAAACTAATAACTGGTAGGTGTTTAAACATTTAATTATGTACTTTTTTACCATTTAACTATTTTTCTGCATCGTACGCTTATTATTAAATTGAATTATTTTTTAAAACAATCAATTAAAAATAAAATAAAATTTCAAAATATTTATATTTAAAAATAATTTTATTTGATAATTTTTTAAAATGTTTTCATTAAAAGACTAGTACTCAAAATGTGTATATAAAGGTTAATATGCATATTATAACATAAAAATAAAAATGATAAAAATGTCATATTATATCCATAAAATAAAAACTAAGTTACAATAATTAAACAATATCATTTTTATATTTAAATGATAACGTTACACATCTTATTATAAATTTATAAAGTCCGTATTTATATACACACATATTTATACTTATGATGATTTGAATAAATAATAATAAAATAATAAGTAACGTAAGATAACAAAAAGGATAAAAAATTATTATTCAAATGTATAAAAATTGAATCTTGTATATAAATTTAGAACGGTCTCATAACAAAAGTCTGTAGGGTAAATGATTTGTTTGAAGTTTCAGTTGCCATACTTTTTATTCAAATACAAAGACATTGAATCATTTTCACAGTTGTTTACGGAATTCTGTTTAATAAAAACGATGGAAGTAAATTATAATTATATTCACAAAATTTTCAAAAAGAAAATAAGAAGGGATAAAAAATTACACTTGAAAATATTAATCCGTTTTTTAAAAATAGTTATTAAAATTTGAGAAGTAGTCTTTTATTACAAAATATAGCAATATATTTATTTTTATAATTAAAAAAATTATTTACTTATCTTGAAAATTGTCTAACGAGATCCTTGTGTTTATAAAATAAATTTAAATATACTTTTAGTCCTATATTTTATTGAATCTTTAGTTATAATTATTTTAAATTAAATTATTTATATTTTAACAATTTATTATTTTAATTTTTGTGATCTAATAAAAAATTGATATTTGATAATATTGTAATAGATAAAATAAGAAATAAAGAAATCGTAAAAAATTAATAAAAAGATTATATTAAAACAAGAAGAATAAAAACATATTTAAATTATATACATATGGAGGGGTATGATATGATTTGGTGAGGGTGGACGTTTTAAATAGGTGGTGGGATATTAGTCCCTCCTTTCACCATCTCATTCTCATTTCACTCAAACAGAGTGAGAGGAAAGCAGAGAGCCAAAACCCCCCCATTCATTCATTCAAACCAGAAAACGTAAGTTAATTGTAAACGCAATCCCTTCCATTCCCAATATCATGACAACGATAGGTAGCAATTAGCATAGCAAACAATAGCTGAGAAACCTCCATTCCTATTCCTATTCCTATATTGCTATTGCTATTGCTATTACTGTTACTATTGCTGCTAGCTGTGAAATTCAATTCCGCATTGCCATTTCCCAACAGAAGAGACACAGACACTTCCCTCCTCCTCCTAACACACACGCTATCTGTACCCACGCACGCACGCACTTTCTGCCTCTTCCTTTCACCACAAACACATTCTCTTTCTTCCTATGAGACTTTCTTTCTCCCCACCACACACCCACCATTGCCACTACCATTATCACTACCCCATCAGGTTCCACCATTCCACGCGCATGGACGCCCCCACTCGCAAAGACAAAGTCATCGTCATCATGGGCGCCACCGGCTCCGGAAAATCTCGTCTTTCCGTCGACCTCGCCACCCTCTTCCCCTTCTCTGAAATCATCAACTCTGACAAAATGCAAGTTTACAGAGGCCTCGACATCACCACCAACAAGATCCCCTTCTACCAACGCCGCGGCGTCCCCCACCACCTCCTCGGCGACGTCGAACCCTCTCTCCCCGAGTTCTCCCCATCTGACTTTCGCCGCCGCGCTGCTGACACCATCGCCGACATCACCCGCCGGAAAAAACTGCCCATCCTCGTCGGCGGCTCCAACTCCTTTGTCCACGCTCTCCTCGTTCAACGTTTCGACCCCGAATTCAACGTATTTGATGACGTTTCATCATCGTCATCGTCATCACCATCGTCTTTTGAGTTGAGGTACAAGTGTTGCTTCCTCTGGGTGGACATATCGTTTCCTGTGCTATTGGAATACTTGCTCAAGCGAGTCGACGATATGGTCGACTCGGGGATGGTCGACGAGTTGGCTCAGTTCTTCGACCCGGACGCGGCGAACCGAACCGGGTTCGGTTTGAGGAAGGCCATCGGGGTTCCCGAGTTCGACCGGTTTTTTAAAGAGTACCCGCCCGGACAGGGGCGAGAGGGGAAGGATCCGATGCGGGAGCGTGCATACCAAGAAGCGGTGAGGGCGATTAAGGACAACACGTGTAAGTTGGCCAAGAGGCAGATAGGGAAGATCCTGCGGCTACAAAGCGCCGGGTGGGACCTTCGGAGGATCGACGCCACGGAGGCGTTTCGGGCGGTGCTGACGTCAGACTCCCACGGCGGTTCCGATGCGTGGGAGAGACAGGTGTTACAACCAAGCGTGAACATTGTGAAGCGCTTCTTGATGGAGTAGGTCTTCCAGCTAAATCCAGCTACTCTTCCTACTCTATTTTTTATTTTTTTCAAATATTTTTCCTCTTTTTAATGTGTTTATTTTATTTTTTACCCTAAAAAAAAGAGAGGAAAAATTGGGGGGTAAGGAATGGTGTGGGGGTAAAATGTACAAATATGGAAATGGACGTTGCCAATTTGGATCACTGGCGTGGTACAGTTAGTGCTCTCCAAGAGTAAGAGTGGCTTTATTGGTTGGGAGGAATGGCCGTGGGTGACCAAATTTTGGGTTTTGGAGTTGCAACCAAGGTTTTGCTCTTGTCCTGTGAGATTCCACATTTTTTCTCGAGGCGGATTTGGTAAGAGCAATGTAAAAAACCAAAACAAGAAAACTAGTATAGAAATTGTTCACAAAGTTTTGGTACCGTTAGAGTTTATTTTAATTTTTAAATAGTTTTTTTGTTTTGCAACCTGAAATTGTGAATGGTGTTTGTTCTCCAACTTCTTCATGTCCCTCCTCCCACTCTCTTTGTTTCTCTCACTCACATGTTGGGCGTGGACGGTGAAATGATGAGGAAATGACATGGGAAAGTTTGGAACGGCAAGCAAGTACGCACGTTTATATTTATAAATACATGGGCATGGGCATGGCATGGGCACGGTCACGGTCACGAAGGGAAGAATCATCAGGGTCTGGATAAAGGGTGAGAAACGGTGTGAGACCAAATTCTCTCCCAACTCCACTACCATCCTATCGCTCTTCGATTAACTAAAAGACAACCATTCACTTTTTCTTTCTCTCTCTCCTCTTTCCCCCCTCCCATCCTTTCATTTGTATATGCTTTTTTATTTTCATTGCCAAGAGAATGCAATGGAATGGGGCATTCTGGATTGTGATTTTGTCTTGCTTTCAAAGAAATTCCACTTCGCCTCACTATGGGGGCTTCTCCTGCCATTATATCTTAATTTTATTATATTCTGTCTCCACTCAGAAGGCATTTATGTTACCCAAAACTGCCTTCCATATCTTGAAAAATGAAGAGAATACTTTTGTTAATACACTTTTAATTATCAATTACATTATTTTTATTAAATTTTAACATTCTTCAAACTGAGTACATAGATGTGTATGAAAGAAATCATTCTGAAGAAATCAGTTTTTTGTAGTATCCTCCCGTTTCTGTGGTTAATTTATGTGAGGCTTATCTCTAGAGGGTTTCATATTATTTTCAAAAAGTTTTAAGGAGCAATTTCTGCATGAACATAATATTTTGTTGGTGGTGTCAGAAAACATAGTATTTTAATGTATTTGTGAATCACGTAAAATTTATTATTGACTTCCATGGTTCATGTATTCCGGTAATCAGGAATAATTTTAAGTCTTTTAATAATTAGCACTTGCAATTCTAACAAAGAAATCCAAGATGATCCAATTCTTGTCTTGTTTGTGAAAGAGAGATCTGGTCTGTCTTTTAAGATCTTACTACGAACTCTTCTTTATGTGCGAGGCCTGCAAATATCTCATATTTTGAATACGATATCAGTCTAAAAATGAGACAATACACAGCTCAACATAACAACAAATGCAATGTGCTATATAAGAGAGCTTCAATTACATTTAAAAGGTTCTCATTGTAGTTTTCTTTCTACGATCAAGATAATTAATAATCCAGGAAAAAAGAGGGGAAACCAATACGCAGGCTCAGTCTTGGGGAAGTCTCGTCCGTCAGGTTGTAGGCATTAGGAATATGGAACGACAACGGTGTCACCTCATAGTTTCGGTATAATGTCTGTAATATCACCTGAAATATGGTTTATGAATTGTCAATTTGTAGCACCCTAAAGAGATTCCTTTGCTAGTTGGGTAGTTGCGCTGTAACGGTACATAGAGGTGTACTTCATAATAATAAACAACAATATATTTGTGTATAACATGTTTAGCCATAATTAACTTTTTTCAATAAACAAATGTATTAATATGTTATTTCTAACATTTTTGTGATTTTAAATTTTTAAAAATAAACTTGTGTAGACAAATAAAAATATAAATTAAAAGAAAATTCCCTAAATGACAAAAAATATCACCAAATAATGATAAAATATGTGTTTAAAGAAGAATAAAGTATAATAATAGATGTTTTCATCGTAAAAAATAAGAATTTTATTCATTATATAAAAATAAAAAATTTTAAATTATTATATAGGAAAAGATTAAATAGGTAATACTTTTGAAATTGAGGAATGAATTATAGTAATAAATTATGTGAATTAAGTATTAATCCGATATGATGTGTCAAAATTCAAAATTATGAACTTTAAATTTATAGATATGAAAACGTTGATTAAGAGAAGTTACGTGACACATTGAAAGAGAGTTGAACGAGAGAATTCGTTACTCTTAAAAGTAAAAATTCAAATTTAAATAAAACTTCAAAATATAAACAAAAAGAAACAAATACATAAACCATAAGAATACAATTTTGTTAAATAATGATAAATTATATATCATAAGAAAGAATAAATTAAAATAATAATTTTCTGCATTATTTATAATAAAAATCTATTATATTAAATAAAAATAAATTAAAAAATGGAGGACGATATTATGAGCATGAATTGTTTAATTTAAGTATGTCGATTAATTTAGTATGGTGAAATTAAAAGTAGTACTTTTGTGTTGAAAAGAAATAATTATTATGCTTTTATATTTTTAATAAAAAATTATTAGCTTTGAGTGGTTTAATTCAACTATAATATATCGCAGTACTCACAGGTGGAAAGTCGTAAATGAATTAAGGTTGAAGAAGGATAAAAGTTTGAGCATTAAATGGGGTTTGTAAGGAAATATATATTAAGCTTATGTCATGTGCTGAGAAAGAAATTAATTGAAGAGCATTAATGAGTGTAAGGAAACAAAGATATGAGGTCTCATTACTGGATGTTCTACAATCCAAGTATGTGCTGACCTTCTCTTCACGTTGTCCTTTTTTATGATACTGACTCATTGTCCTTGAACTCGATTTATTTGGTTTCTGAGGGAGCCAGCAGTGGAGTGTTTCATAGCTAAGCTAGGCATTGATAGTGTTCTTAGTGCAATGGAGTTGTCAGATGGTTAATTCTAGGTCATATGGACCAAATTCTTAGGCTCAGGGTTCAAAATTTTCTGCAAACAGGTGTAGGAAATTAAATTCTGCATAATGCACAAGTCCCAGGATGAGACAATTGGTGCTATCATCTTCTCCTTAGCCCCGCCCCACCCCCCAAGAACTCCCAATTTCATGTACTTTGGCGGGGTGGGGGGCCAAGCTCTATGCTGTTTGGGTGCTCCCAAATCCAATTTATATGTCTCCAAGTCTAAGGGGTCCCAGCATCTTACGGAGACATGTTATTTCTATATCTTAAATCTTTTTTAATTATTCCATGATAATTTTGTTTGAAAGTTTATAAACACTTTAAATCTTTTTAAATTTGTATTCCTAACTTTTTTTCATTTGAATTTTTTATTAACTTTTATTTTTTCTCTTTTTTATTCTTTTAATTTTTTTGCTTTCTCTTCAAATTTTAAAGAAAATTGATTTTCAAGAGAAAGTAAAAAAAATAAAATTATTTAATAATAACTCTTATTTCAGAGTTTTTGCGTAATTTTTTTTATAAACACTTTTAATGTTATATTTTTAAGTTTTTATAATTTATGTGAATTTTTTTTATCAATCTTCCTTTTCTATTTTTTCTCTCTCCTTTTTTACTCTTCAAATCCTTTTTTTTTAATTGAATACTACTCAATTCTTTAGGAAACCATACCAAGATACAACACTCATAGGATGGACCCCCCACCCTCTCTATATTTGGTCATCTATCTCTTTCTCATTCTTCCAATCATAAATCTCTCACCAAACATTCAAATATTCAAATGCATCTAAGGATAACAAAATATCAAATCATAATTTTCTTGCATCATGATTGTTTTATGTTAATGTTGTAGACCTAAATAACACAAATCACATTTTTATAAAATTACAATTTGAATAATTTTCTACTTTTAAGTAACTTGATCTGATCATGTTAAAAGAAAAATATATATAATTTAAAAAGTAATGATTTACTATTATTAATTATAGGATATTACATCAATTATGATAAATATTGAGTTTTGCTACCTCAAACAGAATAATATACTTTCATTAGAAGAGATTATTCAAATTTTAAAAAGTATTTCAGTTTGAAGTATTATATGCTGTGTGAGAATTATAAAAGTGACAAGTTATGTGAAATTATCATTGTCATGTTTTTCCTAGCTTGACGAATAAAGACTTTGTGACACTTTGGATTCCCGTAACTAATGAATACACCTATTAATTAAGTTTTGCAATACACCTCGATCATAAGTTCTTAAAATAATATAAAATGTTAATAATATATTATACTATGCTAAGATTAAAAGAAAGGCGACTTAGAAACCACGATTTTTCAAGTGCCAATAGTTAAATTCACATTCTAGACTCTTTACCAGTTGCTATTACTAAACACAAAGTTGCCTTGAGCATGCATGTTTCTCTTGTTCTTTGGTCCAACTAGATAGTATAATTGTATTTTCATGATTACACGTTCTTGAGTTTTAAGAATAGCTCTAGGCCTAATTATTTATCGCGTCCTAGAAAAACCCAAATTGGCTGACATGGATCACAGGTGGAACAACATACATAAAGTGGCTTAGTTAGCTGTACATGGTGGTATTTTGTCAAGTCATTAGTATAATGTCATAGGTAATATAAGTGGGATAATGACAAAGCAAAAGCTTAATGTAATGCATTAAAATAGGTTTAATTGCTGCCAAATTAGTGGCTTATTTGGTTATACTACAGCTTGTAATCTCAGGTCAAACACAATAATAGAAATGTCCAAATTGATTGGTGCATGTGCATTCAGCACGAAGGAGCATGGAAACTCAGGACATTAGTTCCCTTGGGAGCCAAGATTAAGAAATATAATGGCATGTAGTGAGACTCTTAATGAAACGCAAAA